TTCTTGGTTAGAACATGACAGTGCAGAGGGTAGAATTCAGGAGTATTTCTGCAGGCTTCTTTTCTGAATGGGTAGAAAACACTTAAAGATTATTGGATATCAAGGCTCAGGGGGACCAGTCTAACTCTTCTAGGAAGAGTATGCTTAAAAACTCAGGAGTCAGGGTGGTGGCACACACCTTTAATCCCAACACTCGGGAGGCAGAGACAGGAAGCTCATAGTGAGTTCCAGAACATCCAGGGACAAAGAAAGAATAAATCATGGTCTCCCTAAACCATATTCCTTGAAACACTCAATACCTACTAGACCACAATTGTGTACTTGCATTCAATTATTGGGAAATTTACTACAGCAATTGAAAAAGTGTATGTGTGTATGTGTACCAGAAGGGGGTGTCAGATCCCCTGGAACTGGAGTTACAGGTAGCTGTGTACAACCCTGTAGATCTCTGTAAGAGCTCTTAATTACTGAGCCATTTCTCCACATTCTGAAATTGGGTTTAATTTGTTTGGATTTAATGCTAACATTATCCTAATATGGTTTTCAATTTATCAATCATATGCTCCCTAAGAAGGGTTTATTTGGATCAGGTATGGTGGCACATGTCTTTAATCCTAGCACTATGGAGACAGAAGCAGACAGATCTCTGTGAGTTGGAAGACAGTGTAGTCAGCACAGTGTCAGGCTAGCCAGGACTACATAGTGAGAACTTGTCTCAAAGTGGGGAAAAAACATTACTTTCTATGCTGTAAGTGGAGAGCACAAAATAAAAGGGTATCATCTCTGTTGTTATAAGCTTTCCGGAACACGTTTGTGAAGGTGGTGGGAATGGAGAAGAAGTTTGTTTTTCCAGCATTTGATGAACTCAGTATTTTTCTGAATTCGAGGCATGATTAAAATGATTTATATGAGGGATCTCTTTTTGAATCTTCCAAGTCCTATGATGCAGATTACACTTTCCCCATCATTTTACAGGGGAAGAAGCTGGGGCTAGGATATTTGGAAACAGTCCTCATCTTGGTAGGTGGTAAAGTCAGACCATGGGCTCAGTTACACTAAGTGCAATTATTATAGCTCACACCAGGGAGAAAGTGCGCTTATGTGTCTGTGCTGGTTAGCATCAGCTGTCAGTTTGACACAACTAGAGTCACCTCAGAAGAGGGACCCTCAATTGAAAACTTTCCTAGCTCAGATTGGCACATGGGCATGTTTGCGGGACATTGTCTTGTTATCAGTTGAAGCAGGTGGGCACCATTCTTCTGAGGCTTCTGTTCCAAGGTTCCTGCAGTGACATCCCTTAATGATGGACTGTGTATGACTGGAAGTATAAACCAAATAATCCCTTTCATCATGAAGTTTCTGTTGATGGGGGTGTTTTATTACACAACAGAAAGCAAAATACAACAATAATAGCAATGAAACACACACACACACACACACACATACACACACACACGCACACACACACAAAACCAGTCATTGAGCTGGTGGGCACAGTGGTTAAGGCTGGAGGATCACAAATTGAAGGCTAAGTAATGAGTGCCTTGCTCAAGAGAAAGTAAAATGACAAATGGGGTGATCGTGGTGGGTGGGGACAGTTAAAAGAGGCTTCACAATTTCAATCCCAAACTAGATCCACAGGCTTGATGTTACTAGCTCTATCTCAGGAGGTCCACAGCTTGGGAGAGTTCTGAAAAGCAGGAAGGGAGAAGTGTGTTCACTCAATGCATTTCTTCTTTCAAGCTCCTTGATGGTGAAGTCATTCTTTTTCTGGGGGACCATTTTTACAGATCTTTGAGCACATGCATTGCTTACTTTGGGAAATGTTAGTTTAGGAACACAATCTATTTTCTAGCTACCTTTAGGCTCCCCTGGAGCCCTTTGTGGCTTTAATAGCCAGAGAATCTGATGAAGTCATAGCCACTAGAAACTACCATAGGTAGTTTGTGAGGTTTGTAGGATTTGAGTGATTCCTGAACACTTGGCAGTCTATCGAGTTTTGTTTACTTAACTAAGCTTTCTTTGTAGCCACTGTTGAATTCTTGCCAATTCTAGGAAAGTGCCAGGTTAGCCAGGCAGACCAGTTATCTGTGACTGGTCTGAGGAATAAGTATTTACACTAAAACCAGAAGAGAGATCCCTGTTTTGTCCCTGGTCTGATCAGTGCACTCTTGGTACCCAAGGGGCATGATTTTCTTCCTTTCATCATTTTTGATAGTGCTTTGTTCTTAATATAAAGATTATTTTATGACCATCTTGGCTGCTAATATAACCATGATCAATGCCTATTAATGGGCTTGGTGTTTTCAGTTGTGGGAAAATTGATATAACGTACAAAAAGATACACCTTAGCCTTTATAGCTTCCCCCTTGAATAATATAGGAATTCACATTTGTTAAGCATCCCTACATTTGTCAGCTTTCTGTCATTATAGCAAAAATATCAGAAAATCAATTTATGGAGAAAAAATCCACTTTGCTCATGGTTTTAGAGGGTGCAGTGTTTGGTCAGCCTGTTGCTTTGGGATCATGGCAAGACAGCGAGAGCATCATGGTGGAAGGACATGACAGAGGAAGCAGCTGGTCTCATGGCATCCTGGAAGTAAAGGCGAGGATGGGAACTGCTGTACCCTCCAATGGCAAACCCAACATTCTTCCCTGAGTTCCTACCTCTTTTTATTTTTTCAACACAGGGTTTCTCTGTGTAGCAACCCTGGCTGTCCTGAACTCACTTTGTAGGAGTTTCTACCCCTTACAGGTTCCACTGTGCTCCAGTATCTCCTCAGCCTTTAGGGCCACTCCAGACCCAAACTTTATCCAGCCCCTTTCTGTTGGAAACTACACTTTATCTCTTTGGATAGCATTTAGTTTTGACCTTACAACCACCCCAGAAGGTAGGTGTTAGCATCATTTTATACATGAAGAGACCAAGCTGAGAGATTAGATTATCTGCATAGATTTAAACAGCAAGTGATAATGAAGTATCGGAATTCTAGTCTGTCTGGTTTTAAATCCCACACGTGTAAACCTCTACCACATTACTTCCCTAAAAGGGAGAAATACTGAACGTTAAACCAGCACCCACAATACCAGACTTAGAAGCACGTTAGGTAATTGAATCAATGACACATCATTTGCTTTGATAATGAAGATGATAATTTTCAATCCATGTCAACTTAAACTTATTTCCACCCCCTGACTATCTCTCTGGCTTAATTGAAAACAAAAAGGCCTATTGTGGACTGCTTTGTGGCCAAGAAGCTCCTTATTTAGTCATTACTCAAATAGTTGACTGTGCGTGGCATTCCCCTGGAAGCAGGAATCTTCTCTCTGATGAAACGTTAAGAGGTGTTTATATGTTGCTGTAGGAAAGATAAGTTAAGAGGCAATGGCTGAGAATATGTTCCAACAGGTGTGAGTGGTATGAGCCTCATCTCTTAGGAGGTTCAGAGCTATGGATGTTCCTGTGGCTGTCAAAAAAGCTTCCCAAACTTTCAGGGCCTGATACAGTGGACCAGAGCCATCACCAGCAAGAATTAGGATGTTGGAAGCATAGGCACATACAGTAGGAGTCAATGATTATTCTTTTGCTTTGAGGAGCCCTTTCCTTCACAGAACATTTTGAAGAACTGCGAAGATACACTTGCCTTTTACTCTAGGATCTGTAGAACTACCCATAAAAGCAGGCTGTAGTTGATATAGAATTTGTAATAAGTTCCTGTTTGCAATCTCTTTTATTTGCCACAGCAGTAGTAGGGCAATTCTTATGGTTTGGAAACAATTTTGGAATGATTATTATTCCCTGCACTGGGACTGAAACTCATTTCTGTCCCAGAAGCCTATTTTTCTCTAGTGTTTGTGCTCTAGGAGGGTGCTTTGGTTCATATGCCTGGTCACAGGCATGACACTGAATCTTTAAGAAGCACCCCTGTAAATTTCAAGACTCCATTGTGTTTTTTTCTGCAGAGTAGTACTCCATTGTGTAAATGTACCACATTTTCTCTATCTACTCTTCAGTTGAGGGGCATCTAGGTTACTTCCAGGTTCTGGCTATTACAAATAATGCTGCCATGAACATAGTGGAACAGATGTCCTTGCTGTATGAATGGGCATCTTTTGGGCATATACCTAAGAGTGGAATTGCTGGATCTTGTGGTAGACTGATTCGCATTTGAAGAGGCACCCCTGGCTGGGTGTGCTGGCATATGCTTTAATGTAGCCTTCACTCAGGTGGGAGAGCAGGTGCATTTCTATGAGTTTGAGAGCAGACTTGTCTAAAGAATGAGACCCCCTGTCTCCAAAGAAACCAAAAAGGGCACCACAGAAACAAACAAGAAAGAAGGAAGCACAACTCTTGGGCACAAGTCAGAGCCTACTGGAAGGATGCAGTCCTTCTAGACACTGGTATGCCTCACAGCTTCAGGTGTGTCGCAGCTCCTCAGCCAGTATTGAGTTACACTTCATTTGCTCACGTTTCACCTACTTGACAGCTTCATCCTGGTTTCCACACTTGCGCAGATCACGTCTGATCTCCACGTGATGTCACTCTGCTCTCTCCTTTGGTCTTGACTTTATGCTGGAGACATCCACAATTGAAAAGCAGTTTTGTGTTCACGTGGGGAGGCATTCAGGAATCAGTGGGATTCTGAACAACAATCATAATAATAGGATGGGTATGGAGACTACATATATAATGGTTGGCTTTATTTGTCCTCACTCGTATGTGCACCTGAGAAATATAAATCAGAAAAATAGAGGATCCTGGCAAAACGCAGAACCTACGTATATATAGCCTGCTTCCCTCACTTGGTGATAGATGAGGAGTAAATGATGTCTTTATCTGGATAGATATTTTTTCAGCCCCCGGGGGAAGGAGTCACACAGATCATGTTTACAATCATGCACTTTGACTATTTCCTAACAGGAGCATCCCCATTTGGTAGGCTAGTGATGTGTTACTTGGGAGGGGGGGGGAGAATCAGGATATTTTAAATACTGTGATCTTTTAAAGAAATTATCTTTATTTTTGAGTGTTCATCTGGATTGACATGCCAATGAATATTTAGGTCACATTTTGAGCAAAACTCACAAGTTTTTTTTCAAACTTTACATGTGTACACAAGATGACACAGTTGTATGGGCTCTTAAAAGAACAAAGCATGAGGATACAGTGAGATACAAGCTCATAACCCAATGGAAGTCAGTGAGCATGTCTGACTCAACACAAAAGGTCACAAAATTGTGTTTTAGAGGAAGGACTGTCAGAAGACAGGTTTGCAGATTGCTCCAAGGCCCTTTGTGGGAAGCTGTAAGCAGTAAGGGGGAGAGGGAGAAATAGCTAGTTTTTATTTAACCTAACAGAGAACTATGGGTTGGCAGGGTTTCACGTATCAAGTCTGACTGTTTATTCAATGACTGCAAAAAAGGGTAGGTTCTGATTATCATGCCTGACAGTAATGCAGTAATGTATGTATTCATGTTCTCTCTCTCTCTCTCTCTCTCTCTCTCTCTCTCTCTCTCTCTCTCTCTCTCTCTCTCTCTCTGAGATCTTGACTTTGGCTGGCTAAAACATAGTTCTTTGAGTTCTTCATTAAACATGAGCTAGGTGGGCTAGCAGATTAAGACTGGAAAGTTATAGTGGTACATGGATCAAGAGTCATGTCTCCACTACTAATTGGACAACTTGTATTAAATTATTCCAAGAGAGCCATTAGCAGGCAAAAAGAAGAGTTTTCACAGTTATTATTTATTTTAGTTTTTGCCAACAAATGTGGAGCTCAAGAAGTTCTAGACAGTAGAAAAAGGAAGGTGCATCTATGTGTCATTTATGTCATTCTAGACAGTAGAGAAAGGAAGGTGCATCTAAGTGTCATTTATGTGTCATTAATGAGTCATGTCCCACTTCTGATTTTCATTATGCTTCTGTCTTAACCATTGGATATTTGGTAGTTTGTTTGTTAACCCCACTTTAAGACTAACTTGCAACATGAAAACATTTCCCCTCTAAACCTGGAACTACTAAGAATGCCCCATCCTAATTAAATCACAATATAATTATAACTTAAGCAAACTCTAGTTCCTCAACTCAAGGTAGAGATTTCGTGGACTAAAAACAATGTTTTCTTTACTATTTCCGTTTTGTCATCCTGAGCAATTGATTTCCTTGATTTGATCTCATATGCATAAAGCCAGGCTACTACAGCCCCCAAAAGGGAGGGTTTGAAGCAGGAATCTATCTGCTGTATCCATCCTTCTTGCTTGAGGCCGTGCTTAAGCTCCGAGTTTCAGAAACCATAGCAACTAAGAAACACGTCACTCAGAGCATCAGAATAGCATAGCAGCTAAGAAACATGAGTCAGTTCATAGCTGCTGCAGAAAACAACAGTTAGTGTTAAGTTTGCACAGCCTACCTTCTTACCCCCATCAGGAATTTCAACATATCATCCACCCATTTCATAAGCTCGTCACACCTTTAGCGCTGCCACTCTGACAATCTTGCCTACTTCAATGAAAATATAATCAACTTTCCAATTCCCTCCAAAACCTTAAGTCTGCAAGCCCCAATCTCTCTGTAAGGACACAATCCAGGCCAGTCAAGCTTTTAACATTTCACTTGTATTATTAGGAGAAACCGGAAGACCCACATCAGTTGCAATTAGAGAGCTAGCTGTCTCCATCAGCTTGAGAAGGCGGCTTGATCATGGCAGAAATACTCCGTCTCCCACTACACGTTAGGTAGAGAGGAAGGGGCACTGGCAGTTCCCATCTAAATTAGTTATGCTACAACTTACAAAGAAAAGGTTCAACACAGAGTCTGTCTGTGTAAGAATGCCGGAACACACTAGATTTTACAGCCAAGTGTCTACAGAAGAACAGCAACAAGATCCCAAGCTGACTCTGCTGGTTACAGCCTAATCAACCACAAAGTCTCTTATAAAACTGAAGCAGCTTCTTTACTTAAATAATGTTAAATTCAGCTAAGTAGTTGGGTGGTTGTTCACATGAAGCTATAGGAAAAAAAAAAGAAATCTCCAGTTACTATCAACACCAAAGAAATGCACACCAATCAACCATGGACCAAAGGGACTTTGGTATTGTAGCCATAGCAGACAACTGTGTGGCGTGGGAGCAGGGAGTTCCTGATGGTTAGATGGCAGGGTCATACAAGGCTTTTGAGACCTGCTCTGTCTCCTGGGAGGTTGATGCACCCCGTGTTCCATAACAGAAGTCACATAAACACAAGCTTATCGGCCGGCTTGTTAAAACAGTGTGCAATATTACTGCACTGGAAAATGACTTCCATCTTGCTGAGAGGGTGTCATTATTCTGAGGAAACCATACTTGGTGCCATAGACTAAAAACTATGGTCTCAAGAGGAATGCATGAGAAGTCCCCACCCCCCCAAAAAAAGTTCTCTCCAAGACGACAATCAGTTTTGACTTGTGACCTTAGCAGGAAAGCAGAAAGATGGCCATTGGGGACAGGCAGTTCAGAAAGATATCTGTAAAGATTTAGGCTGGGCAACTTTGGGAAGAGGGAAGATGTTTAAAGTTAAGGCCTTTGTCTGCGAACAACAGTATATTAATAAACTCTATACCATATTTACAAATGCATTCTCTTGTATTAAAACTAATAGTATTCTGTTCACAGTGCCATTGTTTATACAGGTAGCAATCCCATAATACTCGTGTATTTTGGCATGGGAATCAGTAGCGTTTGGTATTTACAGAAAATGTACATGTGAATATAAACAGGTCACTGAATCCGTAAAAGACAGAGTGGCTAGCGGTGCAAAGGAATGAACTGTACAGCACCTTCCACCAGATGGGAGGGGGGAGACATGGTTTCATAAATCACCAAGATGCCAATTCTCTGACTAAAAGTGGCATAGAGTCAATAGCAAAACAATGAACCCCCTTTTCAGGTTTGGGTACACTGAGTAATCTTAGTCCAAAGTTTTAGACCCATTGTCTGGTGCATGAAATATAAAAGTTAAAAAGATTCATTATTATTTTATAATAATAATTATTATTAAAATAGAAGGTACTTTCTCTCTCTCTCGTGTTTGTGCTCTGGCACTTAAGACCAATCTTGCAGTTCCAAGTATGCTGGTGTTGTCATGCAGGTCAGCAGTCAGACGATGAACCCTAAAATGCTCTGGACTTAGGAGCCACTGCCAGTCAGTGTGACCAAGGGCCGGCCAGAGGGGGACCCGGCAGAAGCACCTCTTTCTTACTCCTGGTCTTTTCCGTTGGGGCAGTTGTCCCGAGCTCCGGGGACAGGATGAAGCCGCTCCTTTCGGCAGCTAATGCTGAGTTGACGATGGCTTCTGTACACTTGGATCAACGAAGGGAGGCGGCAATGGCAGGCGGGTGGCACTCGAAGCCCAGGGTGGTGGGTTTGTGGTGAGGGCCGTCGGATGGCCTTGCTCCTGCAGACCGGGCTGTCTTAGGGCGTGGCGCCTTCCGTCTGCTCCAGGGTCTCAGACGTGGGGGCCGCGGAGTCCTGGCCGCTGCCCCTGCGTCTGTGCTGCTTGGACAGCAGGCTCTTCCACTGGGCTTTGTTGTGCGCGAGGTGGCTTAGCATGTTCTCCGACAGGGTGCTGTTCCCGGTGAACCGGGCCCATTCCCGGAAGAGCGGCTCCACGATGTAAGTCATGAAACCTGCAACACGCAAGGCCACAGGCGAGGTTATCACAAGGGGATCCGGCCTTCACAAACATGACTGAGACCCCAAGTGCACGCGGCCAGGGACAGGTGGGCAAACAAGATAGGGTCACTCCCCTTTGTTTGGTGGCTCCCACTTAAACGCTTCGTACTTCAGCCTCCACATTTGGGAAAAGGAACTAAATACTAAACAGGCCCGCTGCATTTTTGTGGCAAATGGCTTATCACAAGTTAAGCGGTTAAAGCTCCCGATAATGAACATTAGCTGGAGAGAGGGAGGGAGGAAGGGAGGGAGGGAAGGAGAGAGGGAAGGAGGGAGAGAGAGACAAAAAAGAAAAAAAAAAGCGTGTGGAACCAGGGAAGGCAGGTGGAGAGGGGGAGAAAACAAAAATGGAAGCAACACCAGGAATGTGTGGTGTTTTGTTTTTAATTAATTTTTTTTTTAAACAAGGTCTTGCTATGTAGCTTAGGCTTGCCTCTTGCCTTTACCTCTTGGATGCTGAGATTATAGGCATATGCCAGCACACCCAGCTCTAAACACGCACGGATAACACAGATTAAAAAAAAAAAAAAAACAGTGCTAGCTAGGATTGAAGGACTGAACCTAGTACTTGGCACATGCCCAACCCGTTGATAGAGATTTTTATCTGCAAAAAGAAATTCTGCTTTAGTGACTGCAGACGACTGTTTGATGTTAGACTTCCTAGTTTCTCCAAACCCCCTTCCTGACAGGGTTTCATTATGCAGCCTTGGCTGGTCTTGAACTCATCTTGACCCTCCTGTCTCAACCCCCAGAGTGCTGAGGATACGGGATTCTACACTGACGTCCAGATAAAGTATTTGTTCTTTTAATCATCAAACACTCATTGTGGTCTAATCCTGTCTCATTGTTAATGTATTTTCCACATTAAACATGATCTCTCAAACAGATAACATTTTGTATAGTGTGGAGTATCTGGAATTATCATAAACTTGGATTTATTTAGGCTTCTTTGTACTTCCTTGAAATGGAAGCATGAGGAAACAGAATTTTTTTGTGAGTGTGTGTAATAATTTTTCCAGCAACTAACCCTCTATATTTACAAGCAAACGAACTATAAGACGGTCTGATGATTTTGTTGGACAAACGGCAGACATCTGGCCTGTGGCAATTCTAGGGTGATGGGGGAAGGAGGCAGCAATGCAAAATGTTATTGTGCATTTCGGAGTTATCTTATGGGAAAGATGTCTTAAACTGCGTGCTGTCTCATTGAGATGACCCAAACCCACTAAAGACTCTTGGGCCAGTGGTTTTATGTCTGATTACATCATCCTAATTAGGCGATTAGAGAGTCAGCATTGAAGCTTTCCACTGGTACTTGCTTCTCTTGAATTTAGATATTTGACATTTTTTAAAAAAATGAAAAAATGATAGTCTTCTAAAATTCAAAGTGTGAATTTTAGAAAGTGCCACTCCTAGGTAGAACAGTTACAGATCCAACATTAAAAGAATTTCAACTCCTTCCTCCCTGATGTTACCCTTCACAGGAAACCAGCACAAACCAGAGGCAATTCCAGGGTAATGTTGTCCTTCTGGTGTGGTGGGAAGGGAAGGGAGCCATGGTGGCTCTATAGGGACACAGGTCGAAGGAAACCCGTTTCCTTTTTGTCTTCCTATAGATCTCTGGTGGGATCTATAGGATTGTGTGGGGATGTTACTTCCTTTTGGGCGAGTATGAACTACTCTACAGAAAATAAGCCCTAACTAAGACTCAGGAATATCTCATTTTGAGTTGGAATAGGAAAGAGAGAGATAGAGATTGCTCTAGACACACTTTCACCACTGAGCATCTTTTAGGGAGATGGAACAAAGGAACGGGATAGTGGATGTCTTAGCCAGAACTAATGGTATATGAAAAAGTGTCGTGGAAACCCATTGGTTAGCAGTCTAATTTCAAAATACAACTTTAAAAAAGGGAGAGTTTGAATGGAATTTCTCTGAATTGGTGGGCACTGCCTCTCTCAGAAGACATGGGTTGTTAGATGAAAATTGCAGTGGAAGGCCTGGAATACCGTCCTATGACCCAGAGGTCTCTGGAACCCTGTGGGTTATTGCCGTTGCTCATGGTTACCCACTACAACTACATGGAAGCCTCTATTGCTAAAGATACACGATTTGGATGTGAGATTCAGAGAAACCTCAAACTAACCGGGAAACTTCTTCCTTGATGGCTAGCTTTTAGTGCGCCCGAAGGTATTATGCAGGCTGCTTTGGAGAAATGAGATTGATGTTTTTACCCAGTGCCGGACCCTCCTTGCTGTGATGACCTGCTACACAAGATGTGCCTTCCAGCACACCAGTGGCATGCAAACTATGAGTTAGCTAACTGCTTTCTGATTGGATTTGAGGCCTGTTCCACAGAAAGAATTTCTTGTTTGGTATTGCAATCCTAATCAAAAGCTCATGGCTACAGAGGTCATGGGCCCTAGGGTAGAACTTATTGTTTTGCTAATGTTCATACTGTCAAATTGTCTTCTGAATATTTGTGTTCATATTGGTAGGTCTGGGCTGTTCTAGACCTTGGTGAGAGAAGCTTCCTTCTGCAGTAGACAGCAGTCAGTGGAGAAAGGCATAGTCAAAGTGCTAAGACCAAGAGACCGAGTCCTCAACAGTAAATGAGAAAGACATCTATATTAGCCCATTCTCTCACCCCAGGGCGCAGGGAGGATTGTGGGATAGGACACAAAAAGAATGTAAAAATCAGGATAGGGGAGGTGCTGGGAGATGCCATCTTCTGGACATGACATGGCTACCACAAACCATGAACTCAGCAGCCATGGATACCCACACAAGATCTATACAAAGTCAAGCCGGGTGAAATCTGTGCAGAGATGGGTAGGTGATCTTTAGGCCATACTCATATGAGTTGCGTTTGGCAGTGGATAGTTGCTGGGACAGGGAGAATAATTTTTTATTAAGGATAGAAGCACTGGTAGGTTTCCCAGGCTTCAGTGAATGGTTCCACAGCCATGCACATATGGGCAGCACTAACTGGTCATAAAATAATAAAAGATATGAAGTTGGTATGTGTGTGATGGAGGGGAGATAAGGGGCAGGTATGATCGTATTTCATTGCATACATGTATGGGATTTTCAAAAATAAAGGAAAATAAAAGGTTATAATAGGCTTCTTCTCTATTGATCAACACAGTAGCCATACACAACAAGAAGAAGATGAGAAATGGACACTTAAGTCTGGGGGATTCTGAAGACAGGAAATAGCTACATATTATAGGATGCCATGGAAGAAGGGGGATGTGGGTGTGAACTAGAGCTCGCAGCATCTGTTAGCTCCTTTATCTGTTTAGCTTTTTCCCAATTTAGCCTGGCTTACCTTGTCACACTTCCTGACCTGGACCTGTAAGAGCTGGCAGATGTGTAGCAGGGAAAGATTTATGAACTGAGTGTTGCTTTATAATCGTCTTCCCTTTCTCTTTATTGTTGTTATTCTCATGTAGTAGTCATGGGAGTTCCCCTTTCATTCAATACTCATTCCATTTTCGAGGCAGTATCTATGGTAACCATGTATTACTAGTCTTTAAACCAGGGCACATGATGACACAGAATACATGTGTTCTCATGACAACAACAGGACAGAACTCTGAAATCAGCCCTGTCTTCCAGATCTAGGCTGTATACTTAACAGTGTAAAGGTTTTTATTTGGGAAATGTGTGACTCAAAGTGTCACTCAAAACAGTAACCCGACAAGAGTCTTTCTACCCTGAGTTTAATATAGGGAGTCTCAGAATTAGGAACTATACCTATAAACCTCATAACTAAAGCAAAAAGCAGGACTGGACTCAAGGAAGCTGAAGCTGCCTCTCTGTTATTGGTTTCTGAGTTGCTCCCTACTTCCTTTTTTTTCTCTCTCTCTCTCCCTCCCTCCCTCCCTTCCTTCTCTCCCCCTCTCTCCATGATTGTCAGCAGGACATTCTAACAGGCTCTCATTTTCAGCTAATCTTTGCAGATGTCCCTCTCCTTCCCAATGCCAAGGCACTGAGTTTGAGACTCGCAACCCTATGGCTTGCTTGGAGTCTGTGGGAACAGGTGCAAAGCTGGGAACAGCTAGATGCCAAACATGGAGTTTTGTTTGGTTTCAATGGAAGCACTTCCAGGAGAAGTAAGGCTAACTTTACATAGAGATGGAATTAGTGGTTTAAGATGTAGAGCAAAAAAATTCCTTCACTCAAGTGAGGAAGTAAAATTTTGCCATTTGATTTCCATGAAGATCTTATGTGTAATGTGCTTAGATAAAGTAATAACCCTTCTGGATGCATTGAAAACATACTTAACAGTTTACCACGATTGACCCTTGAAAGAAGGTATGGTTTTATGAGAACATGACTGAAATAGGTTTTAAAGTAGAGAGAGGAGAAACACTGACATGTGGCCACAAGGGGACAGCAGGACTCTAGGATCTTAGGTCTAGGGAACAGGCCCTTGGAAGTAATTGTTGTGGATAAAGAGTAGGGACCTACATTGACATTGAAAGGATGCTAAGGCACTTAACTTACTTGGGAAGGGTACTCTGAAGAGATTGTAAATGGCTAATTAATTTGACTTAGAGTCTATTGTTTGTATATGTGGTGTGTTTTCGTGTGCACTTGGCTGCATATATGCATGTATGTGTACACTATGTGTGCACACAGTTAGAATCCAGAAGTCAATGATGGGTGTCTTTGCCAGTTGCTCTCTCCTTTATTACTATTATTTATCTTTGGTATGTGCATGTGTGTACATGTGTTTTGCATGTATGTGCATGTGTGCATGTATTTGTGTTTGTGTGGATGCATGTGTGTGCATTAATGTATGCATGTGTGCATGTGTTTTGCATGCGTGTGTGTTTACTTGTGTGTGCATGTGTACACATGTATGCATGCATATGTGAGCATATGTGCATGTTATGTGTGTACATATATGTATATTTTGTGCATTTGTGCATGTGGAAGCCAGAGGTAGATTGAGTGTTTTTCAAAGATTGTCCTCCACCTTTATTTTTTAAAAATAATTATTTTAAAAAAATTTAAAAATGTATGTTTTATTTTAATTTACATGTATGTATGTGTGTCTGTGTTTGGGTATTAGCACGTGAATGCATGTGCCCACAGAGGTAATTGTGGGGCCACTGGACACAGGTGCTAACGACCAAACTCAGGTCCACTGCAAGAACTGTCACATGCTCTTCACTCCTGAGCCATTTATCCAGCCTCCACTTTTGAGACAGGGTCTTCAACACAACCTGAAGCTTATTAATTCAGCTGGGAAGGCTGGCCAATGAGCTTCAGGGATCATTTTGTCTTTGACACTCCTCATTCCTGGCTTCTGTGTCTGGTTCTTATGTAGGTTCTGGGGATCTAAGCTTAGGTCTTCATGCTTGTGTACCTGTGAGGCAGGCACATGACTGACTGAGTCATCTCCCCACCCACTGCTCTGTATCTTTTGAGATGGTCTCTTAGTGAATCTGGAGTTTGCCTGGCAAACACTTTACAAACCAAGACATTGCTCCAGCCCATGGCTCCTGTTCTTTTTGTACTGCTCAGGATGGATCCAGAGCCTTGCTCATTGTCTGCAAGCACGGTCCTTCTGGGCTACCTTCTGAGCTTTTTAGACTGGGCCTTACTATGCAGCTCAGTCTGGCTTTGAATTTGCTATTAGTCTATACTGGATTTGAATTTGTGATCTTAATGGCTTGGATTCTAGGTGTGTACTACAGGGCCGCTCTTGATTCTTATTCTAGCCTAAATCATAAGGTTAATACTGTAACTTAATATTAAGGTAGTTAAGAGTCTATAACAAACCCACACCTTAATTGTTTTAATTTCTCAATTGAGAATTATCTAAAAGATCAGTCATGATTAAAGTCTTTGCTTGGCCCAGGCATTTAGATCTCTGGAAGGTTGTGTTGTTGCTGTTATCATCATCATCATCATCATCATCGTTTTGTGATTCCTGTAGATGTGCCAAGCTATTCATTTTAGATAAACACAGATTTCAACTCACCAATTTGTATGCTAGGGATTGAATCTTTCTGTTGATTACAAAGAGGACTGATTTCCAGTTCAAATTTCTGTTCAAGGTCACCTAAGGAGAAAGAAGAAACACATGGCAATTCAGAGTTCATAGAATGTGCATCAACAGTTTTAATGACCCTGTTGGAGAAAATTATTCTTGGGGTTACTGTTTCTTCCCCTGGAATCACCATGAACCCTTTAGGACCACTGGCTCTTAGAGCGTGTCTAAGAGAGTAAAAACAACAGGGCATCAATGATCATTGACAGTGGCTCATTTGAGTAGGTGTACTCTGAAAGCAGGACAAACTTAAAAAAAATCACATCTATTTACTCTGTGTGTGTGTGTGTGTGTGTGTGTGTGTGTCTGTCTGTCTGACTGACTGTCTCTCTCTCCCTCTGTCTGTCTGTCTCTGTCTCTATATCTGTGTGTATGTGTCTGCATGTCTCTGTGTGTCTGTTTCTGTCTCTCTCTCTGTCTCTGTGTGTGTGTGTGTGTGTGTGTGTGTCTGTGTGTGTGCTTGATGCTTGAGTAGAGGAGGTAGGGCACAACCATTAGGAGGAGACTCTCTCCTTTCACCATGTCAAGTCTGGGAATCGAACTTGCTTTGTCAGGCTTGGTGGCAGGTGCTTTTGCCATTTTCATTGACGGAAATGCTTTTGGCCCACTCTGTTCTGGGAACTCCTTAAATGTGTCCAACACACTAGGAACTAAAATTTTCATTTTTTTACATGATAATTAATTAAAAATTAGCTAACCACATGGACCTCAGAGATATCATATTAGAAACTGGAGGACCACACATGTCCTTCAAAACCCAGATCAATCCCCATTGTCTGCAGTGAACCTTCCATGACAGGTCTCTATCATTACATGTCTTCCTGTGAGACTGGTTTATTCTTTCTCTTTCTCAACAGACAAGTGTGAAACACTTGTATTCTTCAGGAGTTCTACTGGTCCATGTAGAAAGCAGTAAAAGAAAAGCAAACAGTCTCTTTTCTCTGGAATGTTGCTGATTAGCATTTGGGAGGTAGACAGTGTAAGCCAGCTGTATTCCTTTGTGGTGATTGTAACATCCTCTGTGTGGAATTATTTACATAAAAACAAGTTTTACTCAGGGTTGCACAAAGTTAGAGGTGGACACTCAATAAAACTTTTTGAAAAACTAGGCGAATTGCGATCTCAATCCATATTCACAATTGTAGAGAAATTCTTTCTTAAATTCTTGAGGGCCAGAGAGTAGGGAGACTCTCTGTCCTGAGGATCTGACATTTTCCTAATTCATAGGCTACCATTTTCTTCTCCCCTGTGTCTGAAACCTGAATTTAAAGGATTTTTCTTTGTTTAAAATAATGTGTTTGTCCTAGCTGTGCCTAGTGGCCCATGCTCACAACCCCCACATTCTAGAACCTGAGGTAAGAGGACTGTGATTTTGAGATCAGCCTCTGTTATATATCGTGGCCCCATCTCCCAACAACAGCAACAAAAGCAATAGTGACAACAGCAGCAAAAGAGACAATTATCTAGAGCTGTTGGTAGAAGCCTGACTGCCAGGGGCAGGGTGAGATGAGTTGGCATGAGTCCAGATCCCTAAGTGAAATCTGGAATCAGATCAATCAAGACGATGGAAGTCATTCCTACAAAGTTAGAAGGTAATTTGGACGAGCAGAGTCTAGACTTCTACCAGACGGCAAGGCTATTAGCTGGAAAAGGGCAGGTCTGTTCCTCAGTTCCTTTGTCTGCCAGGAGACATGGAGTGTGTGTGAAAGGTCCTCTGGGGTGATTACAGTGGCAAACATTCTAGGTCTTTCTGTACTATTGTGCTGCATACATACATCTGAGAAACATTATAGGTCACCTTATTGCTCGGTGCTGTTAGTTCCTCTTAGTTAACAGCTATGATTCAGAACTCCATGTCTGCCCAAGTGATATGATCCTTGCCCCAAGTTGCTTAGAGTCTAAATAAAGTGTCAGATGAGCAAATTAAAGGTTTAGATGTCAACTGACACCAACCACAACACATGATTGAATTAAAAGCAAGTGGGGCAGAGAAGAACCTTGATGTTCAACACTGTGGTCCTAGCCTTCTCTCCCACTGCTACTTCAATAGTTTATATATCACACAGTGATGTAAGTACCCACCCTGCACACTCTAAAAACTCTCTGCTCTCCAGCTTCATTGTGCTTCCTTTTGTTCTGACCTCAGTGGAGATTTTACGTCTTGGTCAACTAGAACTGAGTTTTTAACGTCTAATGACTCATGCTGTAGGCACGTGAAATTCCAGAGCCATAGGAGTTACACGAGCATTTTAATTCCTAGAGTGTGACCGTGAGCAGAGCCTTCTGGCTCCATGTGTACTCAACCATTGTCCTTTGTCTTCTGTCTTTGGAACCATCACTGTGTCGTCGACACATCTTTCAGTGGACATTGTCCCAAAAGGCTCACTGTTGCTGTTTGATCTCCCCACAGAGCTGGTTTGTGGCACACTTTAAGCTGTATTTGTCCTTGGCCTCTTAAACCTGATCCTGTCACTAGCATGAGGGCACTGCTGATGCCTGAACAAACATCCCAAATGTTGAAACTCAGCCTGAAAAAACAAGGCTGTGTTCAAAGGCCTCCATCCCACCCAAAGTCGAGATTCTCCTTACTAATTAACAGCCTGCCTTCTAAAGGCCAGCAGTATTTGACAAATTATGCCCTACCTTAGGGCCATTTGTCTTTTCACAGAAGAATCCACATTTGTTATTGTTGAAACTATATTAAATTGTTTAACTCAATTCTTGGCTAACTTTGACCTGTTTCATTGGGAACTTTAAGAACCCGAAAAGAAGGTATACAAGAAGGTTCTAAATCCTGTCAGAATGGAAGACATTGGCCTCCAAACAGTGCTTAGCATTTGGGCTGTGTTCAGTTCATTAAAAGGAAGGTGAGGGCAAAAATCAAGCTGTCCATCATACATACATACATACATACATACATACATACATACACACACATATACATGTATATGTTCATGTATGTATATTGCTGTGTGTACCTTGCTTTCATTCATTGTATCATGTCTTGTTATTACCTGTTTACATAGTCAGTCAGTGATATTTATTTAAAATTTTCTTTTCCATGAAAGGGTTGGATGGCTCACAAGATAGTTTAAAAAAAGGTTAAGGATAATCAGAGTTAACGAAAGAACAAATGTCATGACAGATTAGGCATTCCTGTTTTATTAGGATAATTGCCCAAAAGGAGAAGGGGAAAGAAAGCCTTGACTGTGGGATCTACTAACCTTGCCTGTAGAATTCTTCACAGACCCTTTCACTCCACTGCTTGCTCATCTCCCAGATCCGACAAGGATTGCAAATGTCAGCACATTTCAGAGCGATCTGCCAAGGGACAGGGCAGGGAGAGAGAATCAGGAGGTGTCTTTTCAGTTGCAAGTGTACCCCAAGTCAGAGGGGCTGCTAGGTCTGCCTGTCTGTCTCACTGTACCAAGCCCATATTTATAGGGAGCCTCCCTGACATGCCTCCCCAGGAAACAGCTGTTATTCACAACTGCACAAAACCCTTCATTCAGAGCTCCCACTTTCTAACAGCGAGGGGAGACGAGCCGCCATCTGAGGACACAGAGCTTCCTGGAGAAGACTTCGGGTGGGCAGGCCAATGAAAGCCCCGGTCTGGTTCATTTGTCCTTCCACCCCTCTGAGGCAGGTTGCCTCGGGGATCTGGCCAGACTCAAGTACAATCATTTGAAAGTCACTCTTACTTTGACAGTCTCCATACATCTCCTAAATGGTGTTTGCATTTACATGTCTGTGTTACTGTAAGTAAACTCTGACTGCTAGCCAAGGTACTAAGTCATAATAAACCCAGGAGTGTTGTGTTTGCTTGTCTAAGTCCGGGCTCCTTGGGTTGCCTGCCATACATGGCCCTAGATCTGAGGTGTCTGTCAGGTTTTGCCAGCTGTGATGATCCTAGGAGAGTTATTTTGAATTCCCAGACAAGTAGGTTCTCCTGACTAACGACTAGTAACAACTAACAACTAGCTGTCAGGAGACCTGCCCACTAGCAATGTTCAATGCTGTGACACAGTTCCTTATATCGGCGTGGACAGGAGCGTGGGACCTGGGAGAGCCTCGGATGACACTAAGGTATAAACCCATTTGTCTCCTTTGGTTAGTGGGGGCACCAGGTCACATGTTGGCATAGGTAAGGCGCAGATGTCCTTTTAAGGATTTTAAAGATTCCTTTGAGTTAACAAGACTTTTTTTTTGCCATGCAGGGTCAAATGTTTCAGTTACAAGTTGGTCTGAGTTACTTACGTCAACATATGGCTCATCTTTGAGTACTTGGGTACTGATCTTTAAGTACTTAGGTTATAGATACTGGTTTAGAAAGAAGTGGGGAGTATAGCTCTACAGCTGAAAATAGGGTACTTCATGGTATGGATGGAATACTCTGTGTAGCTACAATGTGAAGGCTTGGAACAAAATGACTAGGGTTCAGTCTCTGGGTAAAGTTGGTCTGTCTAGGTAACCTCAGCGTCCACATCTATACAAAGGTGCAGTGGTTTGAATGAGCATGGCCCCCATGGGCTCATATAATGGAACTGCTTGGGAAGGATTAGGAGGTGTGGCTTTGTTGGAGGAGGTATGCCACTATGGATGGGCTTTGAGGTTTCAAAAGTCCAGGCCATTCCCATTTAGCTCTCTTTGTCTCTCTTTGCCTTGCTACTGTTTCCTCAACATGTAAGCTCTCAGCTATTGCTCCAGCACCATCCCTGTGCATGTTACCAGGCTCCCTACCACAATTTTATGGAATCACCCTCTGAAAAAAGAATCAAACCTCTAATGGAATGTTTTCTTCTTTAAATGTACTTGGTCATTGGTATCTCCTTACAGCAATAGAAAATTAACTAAGACAAAGGTTTCTACACTTACTGAGACATACAACATTCCATCGTAGTTATTTTGTGATGAGGCAACTACCAAACAAAGAAAAATAAGATTTTCCACTTTTTGAAGCCTTGATTTTGCTTGTTTGGAAAGCACCTAACAGCTGCATATCTTTCCAAGCTTTTAATAAAGTAGGTCACTACTCTAGTTTTACCATGCATTATAGCGTCTTTTCAAATGTGCTAAAATCATTGTGCATCCCTAAGTCTTGTCACTTGGCCAGGCTGATGGGTTTTGTTGCTTACCTGAAGCATAAAGTGTCTGTCCTGTACATTCTCCAGTCTCAAGTCTTTATTATGGAGGTGAGCTTTTAGGCGAGTGAGAAACTCATTCTGTCTGTTGATGTCTGTGGCTAAGATCAGGGATCCCAGCTGCTGTTCAATATCCTGCCTGCATCCACAAGAACAAAAGAGAAACACACACTCACAAAGCAAATCCCACTCAGGATGATCGATTCTCTCACCATCATGTGGCTTGCCATTTTAGCCTTTAATTTTTTTTTTAATCACTCAGTACCCTGTCCCTCACAGCCTGAGAGCAAGTCTTCTGTCCTTGGACAGCAGTGTGACACAGCTGCACAGAGAGACTGAAACCTCAGGTGAATGAAGTTGTGTTCATTACACATTCCCATGTTTGCCTTGGGGGGGGTACGTGGATTTGAAAGAGTAAAAGTAAAGCATGCTTTAAGGGGGACATAAAAAGACTTGGAAAAATCATAGGATTTTGGGTTGTGCCTTTTGAGAGTTTAAAGTAGCTCAAACAATAAGATGGTCACGGAGAAAGAAAAGGTGGCCGCAACAGTCTTAATGTTCTATTTCTTACTATGTGTATGTGTGTGCATGTGTCTCTGTCTGTGTGTCATCACCACATGCACGACAGGACCCACAGTGGCTAAAGAGGGCTTTGGATTCCCTGGAGCTGAAGTCACAGGTGTTTGTGAGCTGCTTGATGTGGGTGCTGGGACCTGAACTCCTGCCCTCTGGATGAACAGGAAGTGCTGTTAAACAATGAGTCATCCTTCCAGCCCACTGGTCATAATTTGGAAGACAACAGTGCTGACGGTGCTATGGAATGGAATGAGTAACAACACAAAATAGACAGGCCTGAAAGAGACAGTAGAATTTAAAGGCAAAACCAGGTCATTAAGACACCATTGTAAGCCAACAGGCAAGAGACACATGCGTGTTCAGGCGAAACAGAAGAAATGGGACATTTCACAAAACAGTGCAGGTGACAGCTTTGTTTCTCATGGTGAAGTGAATCAGAAGGGGGGGCTGATCAGTGACTGTTTAAAGTTCACCTTTAGTAATGGGATGTGCTGAAGCAGGGTGCATTGAGAATGACTGTGCCATTTAATGAGTCAAGATAACTTTGTCATCACCACTCAGTCAAAGAACGTTGCCAGTGTCCTGGGAGATCCCACTGCCTCGACCACGCCCTCCTTCTCCAGCAAGTATGCTGCAACCACCCTCTTGCTCTTTATTTTATTGTGTTTTGTCTACTTGCAATAATTTTGCCACCATATGTGTTTAATAAAATGCTTTAATTTTAGCCACTTTCAAACTTTGTTTTATAGTATATATTATATACATTATATTAGATATGGTATATAGTATAATATACTGTATTGTAATATATAGTATGTAATGTATGTAGTATATACAACTTGCCTCTACCCTTATGTGGTAGGCTTTGTACTATTTATTTTTAACCATATTATTATCCTTTGAGAATTTCATACATGTGTACAATGTGTTTTCACCAAATCCTCCCCTAGTCCTTACCCTTCAGCTCTTCCCAGGTCCCTTCACCTGACCTACCTTCCTCTCAATTTCATGCCCCCTTTTTTGGTTAACTTGAGTCCAGTTGGCGCTGCCAGTTCGTACATGGGTGTAGGGTCATTGAATAGAGCATGGTGCCTCTGTTGTTGTTATTTTGAGACAGGGTTTCATATAGTCCAGGTAAGGCCTAACTTACTATTTAGTGAGGCTGACCTTGATCTTATGGTACTCCTGCCTCCACCTCCCAAATGCTGAAATTTCAATAGTATGTCACTATGTCTGGCTCATGCCCTGTCTTTTAGGCTTGAAATTATGTTTGAGATTCATCTGTGTTGACATGTAGGCCCTAGTACATAATTTCATTATTATGTTATATCCTGTTATAATAATGTACTCTGATTTATCTATTTTTCTATTTTTGAAGGTCAATTAAGTTGCTTCCAGTTTTTAAAATATTTATTTATTAATATACACAGTATTTTGCCTGCATGTATGTCTGCAGGCCAGAAGAGGACACAAGATCTCATTACAGATGATTGTGAGACACCATGTTGTTGCTGGGAATTGAACTCAGGACCTCTGGAAAAGCAGTCAATGCTCTTAACCTCTGAGCCATCTCTCCAGCCCCCTGCTTCTAGTTTTTAACTACTATAAAAATGCTCAATAAACATGCTTCTGTATTTTCAGTTACACAGGTACAGAAGATTATCTTGGGTGCATAACCAGGAATGAAATGGCTGGATCATGGTGTATGTTCATCTCTGATTTACAAGTCATACATTAATACAGTGTGTCTAGGGAGAAACTGAGAAATTAGTGTAAAAATCATTTGATGGTGGAAATGAGGTGATTAAAGCTCATCTACAAATTTATATTAACATGTTATCAAGGCTTAACTAGGAAGATATGTGATATAAAGAAGCTTATCTTATTACTTATAATAACAAAACATCTTAGGGAGGAAAAGAATTCATGAGTAAGAGATTGTAGCTGCTGCATTCATGCCATGCAGCTGTTAAATGGTATATTTATTGATATGCAAAAGTGTTATTTATGTTTTATTGCATAAAAAATAGGATGCAATGAATGTAAAGTGTGGTCTCTATGGTAATAGTAAGTTATATGTAAGGTAGAATTATGCTTGATTCCCCTTTTCTTTATATTTTTCAACTTTATATGCCTTTAAAACTGAGCAGTTATTAGGCTTATAGCCAGAAACATGACATTATAATTAGAATTGTTTCCTGGGTCAAACGGAAAGACAACTTCAAGTAATATTTACACTATATAAAAAAGGTTACTATACATAACACAGGGTTCTTACAAATGAATTACAGTGACGAAAATGGGAAAATAGCAAAAATATGGTCTCTAAAGTATATACCAATGAGTAATAAATATATTTTCAATGTCAACTTAAGTAAATGGCTCATGGTGATTGAACAAGAAGCTCCTTTATGTTCTCATTGCATGTGTGTGTTCAAACATATATGTGAAAACTTATAAATACTTACAAATACAATAAAAGATACAGCTCAATTTGGGAGATAGTTCATTGGCAGATTTTCTTGTAACTCATTAATGTCATCAATGGCAACACAGGAAGGTATAGCTTCTTGGAAAAGCAATGTAATGATATGTAACAAGAACGCTTATTCAGTTGTGAACCAACCATGTTTCTAATGTAAATTTAAACTTTAAAAAATTAATAATAAAAATTAAGAAAGAGGCCATGAATTTTTAAAAGGGTATAGAGGGGCACATTGGTTAGTCTTTGAGAGAGGTAAGATGCAATATGTTACAATCTCAAAAATAAAAGAAAAAAATTTAAATGTAAACTTTATTTTTTTCTCTTTTTTTCTTTTTTTAATTTTTTTTCTTTTCACAAAGTCTACATAATTTTTATTTTTATTTTTTTTATATTTTATTTTCCAGTTTAAATTTAGATAAGAAACAAGGTATATTTCATATGTATATATGTGTGTGTTATTGCAATATATGTATATTACTAAATAAAACTTGCTCAGTCTACATAAAAAAATAAAATAAAATAAAATAAAAAATAAAGGGTCAGAGAAAAAAAAAGATTTCTAGCGCACAAGAAACATCACTCTTATCCATGCTGTTACTGAAAGCATGGTGTTCTATTTCATTAAGTTTCATGTCACAAATAAATAAAAATTTTTAAAAAATCAAAAAAACAAACAAACAAAAAAATTAATAATAAAAAAGAATATACAAAAAAGAACCCTTATTCAGAGTATCATAGTTTTGAAAGAATATATACATTTAGATTTCAAGATTTCTGGAAAAATAATATTTTGGTATATTTACAATTCCATTTTTCAATGATAACTATGACTCCTGCCAGTTTTTCAGATGGAATGCATGGAGCTGTATATAATCTGGCATTCAACTTAAAGAAAGATTTGATCATATTTCTTTTTTCTTTTTTTTTTACGAGACAGGTTTTCTCTGTATTGTTTTGGAGGCTGTCGGTCCAGCCTGGCCTCGAACTCACAGAGATCCACCTGCCTCTGCCTCCCGAGTGCTGGGATTAAAGGCATGCTCCGCCACCGCCCGGCTGATCATATTTCTTTTTTTTTTTTTTTTTTTTTTTTTTTAATCATTTTTTATTTTAATTTACATATTTCTTTACTACACTACTAAATCCTGTTTTCCCAGAGACAAAAATCCTTCACTTCAAAATCATGCCTTATTCATGTTATGGCTTTTTGGCAGCACCCACAGATGTCAGATATGAGCAAATATTTTCAAGACTGAAACAAACTACAAGTAAAAGTAGAATCAAAACATCTAATGGGCACCTTGAGAACTCACTGAGAACTACTCTATAACTACTTTCATCAGATAGATATTGATGTAATAGTATCTCAAATACAATGTAAGCCTTTTTATTTGACTTTCAGTATAAAAACAAAAGTTGTATCTATAATGAAATAATTTGGAAACCACCTAATTTTTGAGCAATAGTGAATAAATACATCTACTTGGATACAATATTGACAAACAGTCAACACAGTAACTTTAAATCACACATTGGATGATATAGAGGAAAGCCTTTATAGTAAATGAACACTGTTAGGAAAAATTAATATAAGCCAGATGTGGTGACGAATGCCTGTAATCTCACCACTAGAGAGACAGAGGCAGGAGAATTGATGTGCACTTGAGGCAGGCTGGGTTACAGAATGAGAGCCTGTCTTAAAACAATCTGAAAAGAAGGGATGGAGAGATGCTCAGTGGTAAAGTGCACTTGGTGCTCTTGCAGAGGACCTGAGTTTGGTTCCTAGCACCCACACCGCATGGCTCACAAGTGCTTGTAACTCCAGCTCCAGTTAATATACCCTCTTCCGGCCTCTGAGGGGACCTGAATGCATATGGAGCACATAAAGACAAGCACACACATCCAAACAAAACAAAACACCAAAAACTTAAAAAGAACAACACATGAAACCTGCACGTGTGTCTTGCATTTTGTTAAAATATAGCTGTACTGAAAAATACTGAAAGAAGATATAGCTGATAGGTTAACATTGACTATTCCTCACTGATGGGGTCACCGGTACTTTTGTTTTTCTTCTTTGAACTATACGAACCTGTTCATATTCTGTCTACTGTTTTGTTCTTCAAACATGACAACTTCATTATGGTTCAAATGAGTATGAAATGGTATCAGAGGTCCAGGAAAAAACTTATAAGCTCAGAGCATGCTGCCTGTCTTATGGCAGCACACCACTCAATGCAGAACATACTTCCTGTCTGTTGTGGAATATTACTTTAACTCTGTACAGGTGTGTTACAGTTGTTTATGTTGCAGAATATTACTTTAACTCTGTAAAGGGGTGTTACATTTGTTTGTGCTTCATTTGTTTAACTATGTAAACATGCATTGCATTTGTTTTGCCTTACTTGCTTAAGGCGCCTGATTGGTCTAATAAAAAGCTGAACAGCCAATAGCTAGGCAGTAGAGGGATAGGTGGGGCTGGCAGGTAAAGCAAATGAGTAGGAGAAGGAGTCTAGGCTCCAGAGAAGAGAGAACAGGGAGAAAGAGAGGGAGATGCCTGGATCCAGCCAGGCAGCTGAGAAGAAGCAGGGAAAGTAGGACATACAGAATGGAAGAAAGGTAAGAAACCCCGAGGCAAAATGTAGATGAAGAGAAACAGGTTAAATTACATTATAATTAAATTATAAGAGTTGGTGTGACAAGCATAAGCTAAGGCCAAGCATTCATAACTAATAATAAGTCTCCATGTCATGGTTTGGTGGCCAAGCATTCATAACTAATAATAAGTCTCCATGTCATAGTTTGGTGGCTGGTGATGAAGAAAGTCTGTTACATGTGTGTTCTGGCATACACACCACCCTGACCTGGACCTCAAGTTCCCACATGTTCTTAAGGCACAATGATCAATTTTTGCTACTCACCATGAAAATGTGGGCCCTCCCCATTTTCATGAAAGAGATCAGAATTTGTGGTGGCTAAGTTGAGACCATGAAGAAAATAATTAAGAGTCAAACTGACAAACAGTAGACTATGAAAATTAATATTTTCTGCTTAAAATGCAAAAGACAGATGGGTGTGGTGGTGCACATCTTTAATTCCAGCACTTGGGAAGCAGAGGCAGGAGGATCCCTGAGTTCAAGGCCAGCCAGATTTACAGAGTTAGTTCCAGGACAGCCAGGGCTATGCAGGGAAATCCTGTCTTGGGGGGAAGAAAAGGACAAAACCAAATCAAGACAACAAAAACCCAAAAGACATTAAGCAAATCAATGACAAAAAACAAACAAAAACAAACAACAACAACAAAAAATCCAACAAAAACCAAAAGGAAAAAAATTGCTGAGGTCAATTCAGTTAACCAATCCATTGAATTTACATTGCTTTATTTATGTATTTTTTGGAGTGGAGTTTTTCTTTGTAGCCGAGGCTCCCCTCAGTCCTACAGTGGTCCTCCTGCCTCAGCTTTCAGACAACTAAATATATACAGGCGCGAGTTACACACAGCTTAAAAAGGTATTTCTCACTCCTACTTTCTCCCAAGATTGGCAAAGATCTGTTACTGGACCAGTCCTTAGTCTAGCATTCAAATTCCTATGTTCTTTCTTGACAAATATTTATTCGTTGTATCTAAACGGGAGGACGGTTTGCAAACATAAGGGACAGGAGTTTGGCAGCGCAGAGCCTTGTGGCTGAAGAGTGTGAAAGGAGAGCCGTATATTACCCTTTCACCATACTTTCAGTCATAGACCATCTGCGACCCCTTCAGAGTGCACAGAGACGGTCTGGTTTCTGGTTGTGGTACCTGACAATGACTCTCTTGCTGGACAATCGAGGGAGGGCAGGCAACCAGCAGCTGGCTCCCTGCTACTGACACACCAGGGGTCCCCAGCATGCCCTGGAGAACTTGACTCATCTTTACTGTGTGCACATCAGTCTGCTTCATCTCGACAGCACTTACGTCATTTCCTTTGGCAAGTGAGCAAGAAGCCTTGATTCCCGAAGCATGCCAATTGTAGATCGCCAGTGGTGATTCTCCAGTACAGACATATTCTAGAAGAAAGAAAACAAAAGGTACAAAGGAGGCCAGAGCTAGATAATGATCTTTCACAGCTGAACACACCTTGGGGCTAGCCAGGAATTTCTTTCCAGCCAGAGTCCAACCAGAAAAGAAAACTCAAGTATAAGGGCGATGGCTCTGCCCTCAGGCTGCAGTGATGGTAGGGAGTGTACAGTCCTTTGGGGGCCCTGAGTCTAGGTTGACTAATTGTGTTCCAAATAACATGAGCCCCTGTCCCTGCTTCCCACAGCTCACTTAGGTGACCCTACATGTAGAAGAATAAATTGAGGCAGTTAAAACAAGTAACAACGGTGTCAGGGTACTACAGTCACCACATCATCCAAGACTGTCTGACCAAACTGAGCAGAGGTCTAATTTGCCATGCTGATCATAGATTATAAGAACTCTTTTTTTTCCATCCAGGGGTTCTCTGTATTGCTTTGGAGGCTGTCCTGGAACTTGCTTTGTAGACCAGGCTGACCTTGAACTCACAGAGATCCACCTGCCTCTGCCTCCCGAGTGCTGGGATTAAAGGTGTGCGCCACCAATGCCCGGCTAGATTATAAGAACTTTCTATACCCAGACTCCCATGGCCATTGGCAGTACATTCAGAATTCTAAGTCCCACTCGATATTATTTTGATTATTAGGCAAGTGGTCTTTCCTTCCTTCCTTCCTTCCTTCCTTCCTTCCTTCCTTCCTTCCTTCCTTCCTTCCTTCCTTCCTCCTTTCTTTCTTTCTTTCCTTCCTTCTCCCCCCTCTCTCCCTCCCTCCCCTCCCCTCCCCTCCCCTCCCCTCTCTCTTGTTTTTTTCTGAGACAGGGTTTCTCTGTGTAGCTTTGGAGCTTGTCCTGGAACATGCTCTGTAGACCAGGCTGGTCTCGAACTCAGAGATCTGCCTGCTTTTGCCTCCCGAGTGCTGGGATTAAAGGTGTGTGCCACTACCACCCATCGGTATTTCTTTTTAAAAATGATTTTATTTCTGACTATCCCTTTGTTGCACATAAGATCAGGTACCCTTGAATGGCAGAAGAGGGCACTGGATCCCTAGGAGCTAGAGTTACAGGTGGTTGTAAGCCAGTGGACTTGAGTCCTAGGAACCTAATTTGCATCCTCCAAAGACAGTATGAGCTCTTACCTGTTGAGCCATCTCTGTAGACCCTAGTGACAATTTTTTTTAATGTGCACTTAAGTTTAAGTACCACTGTTAAGGAGACATCTTTTTTTTTTTTTTTTTGGTGTTTATGAGACAGGGTTTCTCTGTATTGTTTTGGAGGCTATCTGTCCAGCCCAGCCACGAACTCACAGAGATCCGCCTGCCTCTGCCTCCCAGGTGCTGGGATTAAAGGCGTGCGCCACCACCGCCCGGCTAAGGAGACATCTTGGCCCTCTGAATACTGACATGTAGTGAAGTCTGTGAGATGAAATCACAGACTACAGTTGCTCCCTTGTTCAGTTATCTTGACAGTTTCACTTCTCGTGAATGTCTATTATGTTTAGCTTCTTCCTTGCCCTTACTGTTAGTGTAAGTTTTTCTGTTTTTGTTTCTTCTGAAATAGAGTCACAGAATTTAAGGCTGTCCTTGGACTTAACATCTAGCCCAGGCTGGCCTCTAACTATCCATCATCCTGGCTCAGCCTTCCGAGTTCTTGGATTATAGGTGTGTACCACCAAGCCTGGCCTCTGTAGTATTTTAAGAGCAATTTTACATTTATAAAAAAAAATAAGATATAACCTTCTTTAAAAGTGAAAGAAAACTGTTCAGTGCCATTCCCATGAGGTACCTTATGCAGTGACAGCTGTAGAGAGTTTAGTGGTGGTGACCAGGGGTGGGAGGGGCAGGAGGATGGGGAACTTCTGCTTAATGGATTGGAATTTTGCAAGATGTTCTGGTGATGGTGGCTGCATACCATTGTAACTGTGCTTAACACCACTGAGTCACATGCTTCAAAATGGTTGAGATGGTAAGTTTTATACCATAGTTCAAAACAATATATGAAGGGACAGAAGCAAGGAGAATAGTTGTCAGAGGTTGCTTCTTCTTACTGCCATAAAGACCAGGACCAAAAGCAACCGGGAGGAAAGCGTTTATTTTATCTTACAACTTACAGTCCTCCACTGAGGGAAGTCAGAACAAGAACCCGGAGGCAGGAACTGTAGCGGGGCCGTGGGAGAACATTGTGGTTAGCTCGCTCAAGATGGCTTGCTCAGCCTACTGTCTTAGCCCACGTAGGACCACGGTCCAGGGGTGGCACCGCCCCCAGTGAGCTGGACCCTTCCATATGAATCACCAATCAAGAAAATGCCCCCAGACCTGCCTACGGGTCAAGCTAAAGGAAGCATCTTCTCAACTGAGCCTCCTTTCCCCAAACAACTAGCTACAAACAAGCAAACAAACAACAAAATGAAACCAAACAACAGCCCCCCAAAACCCAAACAAAAAGCAAACCAAAACAATAACAAAACTAACATCGACACTGAAGGGAAGCCAGGGGGAGAGTTAAGCTACTTGCTTGTAGTGATCTACTCTGTATCAAAGCTACTCATATAATCCTCTACTTTTTTTCCTCTGTGTAACAGTCCTGGAGTCCTGGCTGTTCTGGAACTCATTCTGTAGACTCGGCTGGTCTTGAGTACACAGAGATCCTCTTGCCTCTGCCTCCCAAGTGCTAGGATTAAAGGTGTGCACCACTACTGCCTGAGAACCCTCAACATTTTTTTTTATAGAATGAAAAGAGTTACACAATTCAGGGTCCCCTAAAACCACATCTCTTCTTGCTTCTTAAATCCCTCTAGGACTCTGTTGTGATGAGCTTCTTGAGGAAATGCCTTAAGCCCATCCTTAGAGAGACTGTTATACTGCATTTCCTCTCTCTTGCTTAGCAGTCATTATTTCTATTTACCACTTGACCATGTGTGAACCAGTGATGAAATTTTATTGCTTTCCTCCACTGGCCTGTTATTTACTTTTGGGCATGGGCCACACTCAACACAAGAGAATGTTTGTTAGTAGTCACATGCTAGACTAATTTGTCCTGATTGTGAAAGTTTGTGAGCATAGAGAGTGATATGTTATCGTGATGTGACCGATGTTCAATCTGGCAGTGACATTTAGTTCAGTCGCTCATGAGTTCACTTGACAGACTCATTCAGGCAGATAGAGACATGAGATACCTCACATGAGTTGTTCAAGGGGCCAAAAAGTGTAACAAGACCTAATGACAAATGACACTACATCTCTGTTGAGTGGAATAAAAGTGTCAGGGGGATGACCTCAGGCACTGTTTTCAATGCCAGCCCGACTTCACGTCTTCATTAGTGATCTGTGGATTCTTGGGGACTTTCCTGGTGAATGCATATTTGGATAGGAGTTCCAAGGAAACGAGAGGACACTGAGCAGCCTTGGAGCCCACCAGTGGAACCCTGGTGTCTGGGATCGCATGGTTAGAGTCTTACACAAGCAAGAGTTTGGTCAGTCAGGGTGGTGTTGGAACCAGGGCCACTCCACTGGCTTCAAGGGGTAAGAAGTGAAGGGCAGCAAAGAGAGGATGCACACCAAGCTCTGTCTTTGGATCGAGCACACTATTTAACCCTATTTAATCCTCACTTAGCCCCGGTCTGGTCTGTTCTTAGCTCACATACAATGAACGCTCAGCTCCCTCCCCTGGGTGTGAGGCTGGCACTCACTTAGTGAGTGGCTAGGAGCATCTTTGAGTCACACCTGTCAGTATTAATACCTGGACCGTGTGTATGCTTCCTGTTGTCTCCCAAGGATTTCCTCTGTGTTGCCATATCTAAGCTCCCAGAAGCCAGAACTCTATAAGCTCACAAATACCTACAGTTAGACTTAATTTTGCCCTTGCTTTTCAGAATTGATGTCTAAAGATGTAAAAGTCATCCAGGTATGTCTCGCTTATTTGTAAACATTAGCATTTTAATGTCTTGTCTTTGCATATTAAATGTTTTCAGGGACTCTAAATACCATTTACTTTTAATGTCCCTTCATTTCTCCTGGGAAAAAAGCACATGAATAATGTATTATTTAAGTCAGAAGTTTCAAATCAAAGCTGTACCCCTGTAACTGCTATTTTCTTTCCTTTCTTGATTATGGGATTAGAACCCAGGACCTCTCGAATGGCAAACTAGGCATATGCTCTACTTTTGAGCTACACTACCAGCCCTGGAACTTTTGTTTGCATTCCATTCCTCATAGAATTTTATAATTTGTTTAATTACTGTGTGTGTGTGTGATGTATTGCCTGTGTATGTATGTGTGTGCCCATGCTTGCACCCATGCAGAGGCCAGAGAAGGACAGTGATGTCCACCTTTATTGCTCTCTGTAGTGTTCTCTTGAGACTGTCTCTTTGAGCCTGGGGCTAGGCTGGTAGTCAGCATGTCCCAGAGAGCCTCCCGTCTCGGCCTCCTTCCTACCCCCAGTGCTAGGGCTACAGGTATGTTTTGCCATGACTGTCTTTTCACATAGATTCTAGGGATACAAACTCAGGCCGTTATGCTCACACAGCAAGTACTCTTACCCACTAAGCCATCTCCTCAGTCCCTGGAATTTTAGCTTAATGCCAGATGTTTATGTCCATGAAGTCTTTTATTATAGCGTCACCGTATTTCTCTGCAACAAAACTCGGCCTACAAGCTGAAATTCTAATTTAACAGATTTCCCTAATTTGGACCTACAAGAGTTAAATAATTTTTGAGATTGAGTTTATCATGTAATTGTTATTAATAACTAACTGGCCTTTAACAACACTGGAGTATTGCAAATCTGGAAAAAAAATTAGGCTGAACAATCAAAGCTTTTGGCAGTCATTTAAGGAGAGCGATGGGGGTGGGGTCTCAATTGCAGGCGACAGCTGACTCAGAATATGTAAGGGGCTGTCTTCTGTGAGGTGGGAAAGGTGACTGTGTGAGGTGCCTGAAGACATGGAGCTTTGGCTTCATTACCCGGCTGGCCCGTTGCAGGCAGGACGATGTAAAGA